GAGACAGAGCTGGCTGTTTGCGACTGAAAAGGTGCCAGGCCGTAGCGTTCCAGGGTACTTAAAACCCTCATTATCTCGAGAATTAGTTTCTCCGACGGGCGAAGTAATTTGCGAGAGGTTTTTCGTCGATTCATTTCGCCGTGGTGGATTGTTGTTGTTCCGGCGGGCGGCGGGCCATTAGAGCCGCGCGCGACGTTCCGCGCCGTTCTCGGCCAATAACACCGGCCGGCTATTTTTCACGGGGAATATTATGTCCTGGGACCGATAGCAGCCGTTCGAATGTAGTCTGGGAGCTCGAATGGCCCTGGCCGGTTCCCGGGCACCGTTCCAAAACCTCTGAATGACGCCCACTCGAAGAACTTACGCAACAACGCGCGCCGATGCACCAGAAAAACACGTTCATTCACGATTCAACGAATGATCAGCCATTGCACCTGCTCGTTCATGACACACGCCGCACGCCGGTCGCTTTTTCTGGTCGAATCTGCCGCGGACACAATCGATGCTATCGATGCGGGGCATATCCGGCGTGTTCGTGCCTTCGTACGTACAGGGTGTCCCATAAATGTCTCTCAATACGGAAACGTGGGGTAGCTGAGATCATTCTAAGTAACTCTTTCCTTTGCGAAAATGCAATCCGCGACTTTGTTTACGAGTTATTAACGAAAAACACTGACCAATCAGAGGCGACGGCGCGAAGTTCGAGAGCCCGCGGCACGAGGCTTTGACAGAAGGTAGGGACGGACTCGAGCCGCGTTCGAAGTATCGAACAAGTCACGAAGCGTGAACTTTCCGGATTTTTGTTACTACGTAACAGTGATATTTTTAGGAAAAACGTTGTTCACCTTTACTTTAGAACGTCTGAAGAATATGTACTAATTTTTCGGACCCGAAATAATATGTAGTTTAACCGTGACAGCCGTTTTAATTTTCTGGTGTGCATGACAGCTCACGTGTACCATATGAAATTTGTATGTACAAGGTGTACAGTGAAGATTAACAAAGTTCGTAAATGATATTTTAATTGAAATAATTCCGTGTCCGAACAGAATTCAACGAATGATTCGCAAAGCTGATTTAATAATAAATAATCGCGTTAAAAGAGACGTAAAGGATTTATTTATTAGGGAAATATGAAAATATTCGGGATCTCGCCCCACAAGCGATTTTATACGAGAAAGGAAGTCGAAAACAAGAAATAAAATCTTTTCTTCCGAGGCTACGCTTTCGAGAGAAATTAGTCTGAAGCGGCTTATGTGTATCATAAGGTAATAGTAGTGATAGTAGAGATAACAGTAAACCTAATCGGTATATTCGCTCTTTTTGATAATGCAAACCACTTGCACATCGGTGCATTTACATGTTCGGTCAAGTTGCATTTAAAATTGCGAATTGACATGGAAACGAACATTTAGAACATACATACTCATTGGAAACACATTGTAGAAATTCGCTTAAAAAATTCAGCGACACTGTGTAAACTAAATCTTTTTATACATGATGCATCACGCTGACCATCCTCGCAATTTTTTCTCCGATTTCAGCACTTTCACGACCAAAGCAGCGACTATGAAACTTTTTCCTAATTAAAGCAATTTTTTTTTAATGAAAATTTATGCATTCTGTGGATCGTAAAAAGTTTCCTCGACCGGACAGAAAATAATCTGATTCAGCGTAGACAAAGTGTTACATATGTGACACGTGCGTGCAGCCGATGATTCTGAAATCCGAAATTACATGTTAATGTTTTCGCTTCAAACTTTGTTCGGAAACGTACGTATTAACCCTTAAATGCATGAATTAATGAATTTTATTTAAAAAATAGGATTATAATTTTTCAAATGAGTGGAAATCGGGAAAAATATTAAAAAAAATTATAAGTCATATCTTATAGGGTTTTTATTGAAAAATATTAATGATTCATTTTTGGTACACTATGCAAAATAGACATAAAAATTCTTTAGTTAGTATGACATATCTATAACAAAATTATAAACCACATGCCACACCAAAACAAAACCAACAAACCAATAAAGGAAGCATAGTACTAAATACATGTCGTAATTATTACCATTAGTGCATGTTGTCCCATTTTTGCATCAACACGAAATAAGCCCTCCATACACATGATAGTTACGGAATATAGACAAAAGTACTAGCAAATTAATAAATAAGAGCCTTACCTTTAGAAAATATTGTTTGTTTAACGAATACACCAAAATATTTCTAAATAATCCACTTCCAAAAGAGTACGTAAATGAACCCGCTATCAAAAATGCGCGCCAATTGGTATAACGTCAGAAAGATACAAATATTGAAGTCAAATGTCATTATTTTAGTTAATTTTTGATAAGTCAATGGACAAAGGAATCACTGCCATTCAGCCAAATGTATCGATATCAAAACTGTTGTCGGGTATCCGCGCAAAAAGTTATTGATTCATTTTTGGGACTCTATGCATTTAAGGGTTAATTTCGTTCGGTAAATCAATGTGATCGACTTCTTCGCGACAAAACGATAGATAGCAGCAGTTCCATTGATCACGGAATGACCGAGTAACGTTTCTTAGGGGTAATTCTTTTCTCTAAAAATAAACCGTTCACACGTTTCGTTCATTTCTCTTCCGGTTAAGCTCCTTTGTGCGTCAAAATTGTTATAAATAATTGTAAATAATTGTAAATATAATTGTTATAATCAAAATTGCGCCTTGTGTTATTAGCGTCACTGTTATCTTTTTTACAGCTAATTTGCAAAATCCTTATTCACCTGAATTTTAAGGCTAACGAACTTTTAACACCGATCGGCATCAAGGCCGTCCATAATGTTCGGCGAACGCGTCAAGCTTCGGCTGGAATAAAATCGCGCCGAATGTCACATTGTCAACGCCGGCGAGATTAGGCGACATCATCTGCTCTGTACCAAAGAAATTCCATGTGTAACGCTGCATCCGGGCGTTACCGCGGCCTTGCCACCGGTCTAACTTCGAGATAGAGTCGGCCGTTATTGAAACTTCCGAAGATCGAGTTTAGGTTTTGATGGCCGTCGAGCTCGCGGAAATGGGTTACATCTTTTATGATTGTGGCCGTGGGGGACAAGCTTATGAACGTCCGCCGTGCTACACCGTTAACAGACTGTATCGTTGCGCGATGCATCGGTCGAGATCTGAACCGGCATGAATATGTAAAGCTGCTGGGGCTACAACCAACACACACACGTACACATACACACAGAGGGACAGAGGTAGGGAGGCAGAGAGACAGAGGGATAGAGAGATAAAGAGGTAGAAAGAGAGAGAGAGAGAGAGAGAGAGAAAGAGAGAGAGAGAGAGAGAGAAAGAGAAAGAGAAAGAGAGAGAAGGAGATAGAGGGATAGAGAGGGAGAAAGAGAGAGAGATAAAGAGATAGAAAGAGAGAGAGAGAGATAGAGAGGGAGATATAGAGAAAGAGGGAGAGAGAGGGAGATAGAAAGAGAGAGAGAGAAGGAGAGAGAGGGATAACAAGAGAGAGAGAGAGAGAGAGAAAGAGAGAGAGAGAGATAGAAAGAGAGAGAGATATATAGAAAGAGGGAGAGAGGGAGGGAGAGAGAGAGAGAGAGAGAGAGAAACTGCTTCTCCCGAACACTTCTAACGAGGACCTCCTACGGCCGAGTTCGTTACAGACGACAGGTTCTTCGGCTTATAACCTGTCGACCCTCTTGCCGGGCTTCGAACAATTATGGCAATCCCATGGTACCGCGTTCCTCCGGTCCTTGCAACGTTATACACCAATTTCAAGATGGCAGGCTCCGTAACACGAACAATAGCAGTTCCTTCGATAATGATACCACGAAGCCCGCTTTTATATGATATTCTGTCATAAGACAATGATTGCAGAAATGTATCTTTATTGTACGTATGCACGTTTCAGATGGATACATACTATAGACAACGGCTCACCGCAAGACAAGGTTTTCCACGGTTTAATAATGCATTCTATTTGCTTACGCGTGTCTCGAAAACATCACATAAATGTTCCCGTGAATTTTTTGTATAATAGTCATTCTAGGAACAAATTCGAGAACTTTCAACAGCAACAATAAGCGTTTTCCGTTTGTGAGATCAGTATATCGGTATATAGTGATCAGTATATCGGTATATAGTGAGATCAGAGTACATTTGATTAATCGCACAGATTTTTTGAAAAAAACCGGCCAAAAGAAAATCAATTTTTTGTGTGTAAAAAGAACACAATTTAGAACATTGTCTGGCAAAAGAATTAAGAAAATACAAAACTAATCAAAATTTTTATTTTAATTTTGGATTTTGATGCACATTGCAGAGAAGAGCCGAATATTGCAATGTTAAAAAGGAAAAAGGCTATATTTTATTCTTGAATAAATAACTGTTATAGCTTACGATCCCACGTAAATGATAAATATCAATAAAACGATTTTTTTTCGTTGCTTTCACATCGTTATTTTCAATTCTCGATTATATTCGAGTGTGAAAAATTATAGCAGCATAAAATACAACGCCGCTCGAATTATCTCGAGTGCGCAAAGTTTGGCCCGTTTAGCGCGCTCGAATTAACTCGAGCGTACAAGTTAAGGGGTTAATGAATTTTTGATTTTGTTTTTATTTGCACGGTGCACGTAATTATCGTGGACATTTTCTCCAAAAACATTAGTCCGAAAGTATGAAGCGAAAACTATTTCTGCAAAATAATATTGAATTATATCTTTAAAAAGAGAGAGAGCTTCGCTTAAAGCGAATTGATCTAACTGTTTCTAAAGATAATATTTTAACGTTGCATATTATTACGAAGATTATTTCTTCCGTCAAAAAAATTTGAAGAGAATAAGGAAACAATTAATTATTTGAATTTGACGTTATCTCGTACGTGTCGATTCGTTGAAAATAATGAGTCGGAAACGAGTTATTTCGGACTTTCCGTTTCAAATAAAATTTGCTCCATTCGTCGTGATTCCCGCGAATTCTAATCAGAGACTGTCTTCTGTTCCAGGTCGTCGGTGCTTCTTATACTAATCGCGGGGCTCTGCGTGCGCGACACCTTCGCGAAACACGTGAGTATGGAATCCCACTCGGCTTTAAATATTTCGCGGTGGTCTGCCGGCGCTGACGATAATGTTGAAACAAGGGCTGCATCGGAACACCTTCGGCTGCATTCCATTCGGCTTTGCTGCACAGGCACGGCGCGTCGGGCGGTGGTTGGCTTGAGTTTCAAAGGGTCGAAGCGCGCCGAGCCGCGGCTACGCCGATCCAACTATCTCAGCTAGCCGTGTTTTTACAAAGTTTATGAGAATATACGGCGTTGAATTTATGCGGATACCGATGCGGGACGAGCCGCGCCCATTAGCAGCTAATTCACGGTCGAAAACCGTGGGTGATCTTCGGTGTGCTCGACGCGAAACACCGCGATTAAGGACCCTAAATGTCGCCGGCCGCTGAACAAATGGTAGATTATTAGCCGAGGAAATTAGTGTGCATCGGGAGATAATCCTTCGGAGGAGCCTGGATATACCACCGGTTTCAACTTGATCCTTTTCTTCGACCCACCTGCTTCCTTAACTGCAAAATTCTGCACATTCGCATAGACTGCTTTCGGAACGGTTCGCTTTATTAACATAATTTCGTCGCAATTTTGCCGACACTGGGAAACGGCGAAGGGATCGAAAGAATTCGAGAATGTGGATACATTATACTTAAATCTTAGTTTATTTTATCGTAGATGATAGCAGTTTTGTGTCTGGCTTTTTAATTCTTGCAATCGATGAGGAAAATATTTGCGGTTTATCTTTTCGCACGACGCGTAAAAATAGTTCTCACGTTTGAATTCATTAGTAGATCGTCGGTTTGGAAACGTTTCTACAAATTCACGCCGTCAGGTACGCGGAGGAAAATATTCGTGAATTTCTCGGACAGAAATCGCACGGAAATCCGCGATTCAAGCCAGTCGCTTCTTTGTTTTTCGATCTTTCGGTATTTATAACAAATCCCCGCGTGTTTGGAAAGAGCAAAAATGGCACCGTGACTGCCGCAGGGAATTATTTCGGACGGCGGCATCGCCGAAAAATTTTTCCGCGCCAAAGTTTGCACGAGCGGAGCCCGAATATCTCGCAATGAATAGTTTCGATCGATATCAGAATCGTATTAAATCGCGAGCCAACGAGATCCCGATGAAAAAGTCGACGACGATAAGCTCGGGAACTGAAACAGGGGGATGCGCGCAAGGATAAAACAAAAAGGGTTCGTAGAGGAGAAATGAAAGGCTCGGCGATCGCGCGTCGACTCATTGTCTCGCGGATTCACGTACGCCGTGAATTCAAAGCCGCCTTGTTTTACCGGAGAGAGAAAGGGGGTTGGAGGGCGGCAGAGTTTCGCGGGTGTATTCTGGCGAAACGAGAAAATAGAAGGCCAGTCTGTGAAAAGTATGGGACGAGGAACCGGGACAACGGTCCACGGTAATCTCGTTGTATGCGCACGCCTGCTGTTCCCGTCGTCCCTTTCGCCATTTTGTGTGTTCCTACACCTTGCATCCGTCTTGCGCGAGCAATAACTTAGGGAGAAATAACCGGGGATCGTGTTGCCACCCTTTGTGCTCCGTTTCGGCTCCCGATAGGTCGGGCGCATGAGAAAATGACTTTATTTCGGCACGATCGTGAAATCGACCTATTGTATTCGTTAAAGCGTGTCGAAGCTTAGTCATTTTTCAATGGACAGTTTGCTTCGGTAAATTTCTTATCTGTGGCTTTATAGAAATATTGGGTTGGCAACTAAGTAATTGCCGATTTGTTCAATGAAATAAAAAATTTTTTTTACTTGGAATGAAGTTTAATCTGTAATGTATTTTCCATTTTGTTCGATGACCTTTTGCCATCTCTCCGACAACTTGAAAATTCCACGCTCGTAGAAAGTCTGATCCTTTTCGGCCAAAAACTGAGTTAAGTGAGATTTTACAGCGTCATCGTCGTTAAAAGTTTTACCACGAAAGGAGTTGTCCGGGGATCGAAATAAGAGGTAATCCGATGGCGCGAGATCAGGGCTATATGGTGGGTGTAACATCAATTCCCAACCAATATCCATCAATTTTTGCCAAGTGGACAAAGACGTGTGCGGCCTAGCATTGTCCTACTGGAAAATGACACCTTCACGATTGACCAATTCTGGTCGCTTTTCCTTGACCGCTGCATTCAATTTGTCCAGTTGCTAACATTCACGGATAATAAAAAATAACATAATAATAATAATAATAATAATATTATTATATAACATTTACGGATATCATAAAAATGGGAGTGAGAGACATCTATAACTGAAATCGGCAATTACTTAGTTGCCAACCCAATACATTAAAAGTCTCTCTTCCAATAATAATTGTCGGAAGTAAAATATTATCGGCTTCCTGTATCTTGAGCTAGTCAAAGGAACATTAAACGACATTCTGGACAGCGGTTTCCTTCTTCCATGAAAATGGCTCGTCGTCTGAAAAACCGGTGGAGGAGCTGCTCGCCGCCGCTGCTGCGGCGGTGGTCAATTATGGTCGAATACAATTCCAGCCCGGACAGATTAGTAATAATAACATAATAATAATAATAATAATTTTAATAATAATAATAATAATAATAATAATAATAATAATAATAATAATAATAATAATAATAATAATAATAATTTTAATAATAATAATAATAATAATTTTATAATATAACAGTTACGGATATCATAAAAATGGGAGTGAGAGACATCTATATCTGAAATCGGCAATTAGTTAGTTGCCAACTCAATAATTATTGCATTTGGTGCAAGGATTCTTTAAAATATGGCGGCGTTAAATAATTATCGGATGGACAGTTTGATTTTCTTCAATTCTGTTCCTTGCCTGTAAAGTGGGTGTCCTTATTAACTTCATGGTAGTTCAATCATTTTCCCATTTTAAAGGTGGTTTATCATGTTCGAATTTTTACTATCGATTAAATGTTTAACTTAAATCGACGTAATACAAATATCGTCACAATTAACACACAGAATATCAATGATATCAACGTAGATGTTACAACCAGACTGTTGATCTCCGTGCAAATTTCTATTTTAGAATACAATTCCACAAAAGATTATGTCAAGGTTATATTAAAAGTAAAGTAAAAGGTAAAGCAACAAAAACTTCAAAATTCGTACTGAAAAATTTCTCCAGCCCGATACAACAATATGAAAACCTTGTCAACCGCGTATACTTTGCAAATTCGCATAGGAACGCACGAGAATCCCAGCAATTAGGTGACAACAAAAGCATCGTCGTTCGATTCTGAAAAGAAAACTATCTTCTTCTTATCCCGTGAACGAGATAAACTTCGTAACAACGAACTGAGCTCGTCAAACCAAACCGTGTAGGAAAAACGAGCGGACCTATCGCCGGAGGATCTTTTATGCAACCGTTTTCAGAGTGCGTGCAACGCTAAAAATGCATTCCACGGTCATTGTTCGAGCGCGGAAGAAGCTGAGCATTTCAAACCCTGGCAACAAGATAAACCTCGCGTCAACGAACGGAGCTCGTCAAATCAAACCGCGTAGCAAAAACGAGCGGACTATCCACCGGCGAATCTTTTCCGTGGCCGTGTCCTCGGCGCGCGGCAACGCTAAAAATGCGGCCCGCAATCATTGCTGAAATCCAAAAGGACTTAAGCATTTCCAAGCCCATCAACGGGACGAGTCTCGTGACAAAGCTCGTCGAAGCAAACCGCGGCGCGGCAGAAACGAACGGTCTATCACCGGGATGAATCTTTTCTGTAACCGTTTCCACGACACACGCAACGCTAAAAATGCATTCTGCAATTCGCCGACAAGTTCCTGGTGGTGCACGCGCTGGAAAGAACCGGAGATCCTTAACCAGTCACGCGAGTGTTGATGCAAAGGCAGCCGGATTGGACGACGCGCTGTCAACCTAGACATCTATCATCATGGGTGTCTTCGTGCCCGCCGCGAGAAGTCGCTTGAGCGGCGCGCCGAACGCTTCTCCGGCAGAAGAGTCTCCTCGGGACAGCAAAAGGCGGCGGTTGTGATGAACAATCGCGCGAGTGTGTCGTGACAAGTTGAACCGGCCAGTCAGGGAACGATGAAGTGCACGATAATTCACCGGCGTGTGTCAGATGCATTCCCTTTGGCGAGCGTTATCGGGCGAATCTCGCGCTGGACGAAATCGTCTGGCCGCGTACGCGGCACGGCGCGTTGCAATTTGCACGGGACGGGCCTGTGTGTTCGTCACCGTTTTGCGGCCAGACAGCCGGGACACGACAATTATTAAGGGAAAGGCGTGGCCGGTGTTCACGGTTCATCGGCTGACCCTCGACGCGTCCAGATCCACTTCCCCGAAGCATTTAATTAACTCTTCGCCACGCAATCTCACGGACGTGCCGAATTCCGTTCCCCGGCACGCTCGCGATCCTCCGCGCTGCTCCCGCGAGCTTATTTTAGGAATACTCTTAATTGACACAATTTTTCGCTCCCTTAGTAATTGCGGAGCTGTCCTCGTTCCGTATAATCCGACTTAAATCCGTCGATGACACGATGCGAGCGTTCGGAGATTAGCTAAATTCTCCCGAATTTTTCTTTAGCTTGAAAACAGAAACGGATAAGTTGGGAAGAGGAGATACGATTATTCGAGCCTCGCGCCTCGTTTTTATAATTGTTCACTCATCGGAGATTATAGGAATGAGCCCGAAGGCTCGAATAATCGTATCTCCACTTCTCAAATTGAATTTACTGCATTCCCAACGGATTGTCTTTAATTGGCACGTTGTGACGTTCTATAGATTATATTATCTTCTTTTTTTTATCTACGGATTCCTACTGGACAGTTATCTTTATCCTAACGAAATAATTGGATCGAGCGAAAAGATGAACGGAAGAAAGGACGATCCGTATGAAACTTCTCTGCAATGCACGGTGCAATGAATGATATAAAAATGCCAGAATAAGATCAGGTCGACTGTGATTGTTCAGAGACAACGGCATTCAAATTATTCATCGGAAAAATTGTCAGATGTAAATATAATAGCTAAAAGTTTTC